TCCCTTTCAGCAACACCTGCACCCCCCCACCCCCGCCTCACCTCACTCCCCCCCCACCCCCCACCCCTCCAAACAAAATGAGACTGGCAAAAATGTGCCGACTAAACGCGCTGGGGATCTATTTGTGGGAAACGATAGTGTTCTTCAGGTAAGCAGAGGCATGAAATGGACTTCACTTCTCACAATAATAATGTTTGTGTGTGTAATATGTTGTGGATTTTGATAACATTGAAATTTGCATTTTTATTGCTTTGCTGCCGTTTGCGACGTGCATGGAGATCAGAGCTCCCTTTAGAAGGCTTGAAGAGGGGGTAAAAAAAGAGGGTGGGGGGGGGGGGTTCAGCTGAAATCTTATGAAAGTTGTCTTTGAGGTTGCATGCGTTGTTGCTCCTGTGAACGTCGGTCCGCACGGGATTGAATCAAGTCGCATTGAATCCGGGCAGGATTGCATTGGGGGGGGGCAAACAGCGACCACTAGCGTTCATGATGTGCTCCTCCAGAGTGTCAACAGGCATGTGAGGAGACAGGACGACTCTCAGGATGCCACATGTTGTGGCATTTAGATGATGCTCTTATTCATGAGTCCCAATAACAAATGTCTCTCTCACACACACACACACACACACACACACACACACACGCGCACTGGTGTTTAAGCATGTGGAGGTCGTGTCAGTCATTGTGAGGAGGCTGGATGTGTTGAAGGAGACTTTTTCACCCAGAAACAGTGAAAATGTGCATCATGTTCTATCCAGCTTCTGATTTACAGCCCTTCTTCCTTGAAATAAACCCTCATCCCGTTTGTCTCAACGGTCCCAGAAGACAATCAGTTGTGTGGAGGGTCTGGGTTGTAATTTCTTCTTTCATTACAGGCGATCCATTAATCGATTAACCGCAATTCATTCAGCTGCTGCTCTGCACTGGTTGTACATCAAGCTAAACCCTGAGAACCAAAAGCCAAACATGCATTTCTTTTACTTTCACAATTCAAATGTGTTTTGTTGCCTGATACCCTCACGATTGGAGCACTTTTGCCAGCAGCTAAAGCCAGACATATTTACGCCCCCCCCCCCCCCACCCGGTGTACCCATGTTGATTTGAGGTCCAGTTCCCCTTCCTGTTGAAAGCAACATTTACTCATCCCTGCATGCCTCCAGAGTTGCCTATTCATCACTTGCATGCTCCATGCAGAGGCCCCATAGCAACCAAATTCTCTTTTTAGTCATGCAGCAGTAGGCGGGGCACATTGGACGTTGAAGGGGGGGGGGGGGGGGGGGGCGTGGCCCTGAAAGGTGATGTTGCCGCCCTTTGAGGGGAACGTGGCTATTGTCGCTTTCAGTTGGTGCTTCTGAATGGACTTGTGATGAAGCAGTTTGTGTTGATGGAAAATAGTCTCAGGATTGTTGATTGCGATGCTCGATAGTGTTCAAGCTCAACCAAGAAAAGGGGCTGATGGGAACATTCTTTAAGTCAAGTGGACATTTTTAAACAAATAAAGACACTAAGCTCATCAGAATTATCAATGACGTGGATGACAAGTGATGGTTGTAGGGTTGTTCAGACTGCATCATTGGAGGACTGTGTGGTGGATAGCTCAGCAGAGAGGAAGTTGGGTTCTGGAGGTATTTGGCTCCGGGCCACCGTGGGAAGCCTGATGCATCATCAACAAGGTGAACTGCATTTAATAAAGAGTGAAAAAGCACCGGATGTCACCGCCCCTCTCCTGGGATCAGGAATAACAAGCAGCATGTTTGGGGTTTGTTGAGCTCACTGCAGGCAAACGCGTCAATTATTCATTTCATGAAGACGAAAAGCATTTTGAGACAAACTTCTCTTTCTGCATGATGATTGATAGGAAGGGATGGACGGAGTACTCGCATCCTTTATTTAAATAAAAGTGGCAAGATGTACTTAAGTATTCAAAGTGCAAGAATGGCCCTTTCAGAGTTCTCTATTATAATATCTATTTCATAATTTGATCAATAGTCCTTTAATGCTCTCGCTGGTGTTACAACTGCTGGTTGTAGAGTTTGAAAGTGTTTACAAAGCAGGCAGGATGAAAGATTGTGGTGCATGATGGGAATGGTAGGTTCCAGAGTTTCTGGTGCTTGACAGACGGAGACTAAAAGTCACGATATCTCAGGCCCGGCTGCATCTGTTATGACCACAGACTGTATAGAAGAAGTGGGCGTATTCATGGTGACATCACCCATTGGTTTGTGGACTGATGTTATGAAGCCTCGAGTTGGGCGAAATGAACATCATGCTGTATTGAAGAAGACTTGAAACTAGAGATTGAGACCATAAACTCATGTTTACAATGTTTACTGAGGTAATAAATCAAGAGAGAAGTAGAGTCATTTTCTCATAGACTTCTATACAACCAGAGGAGTCGCCCCCTGGTGGACACTAGAGAGAATGCAGCTTTAAGACATGTTGCCGCCTGGTTAAAATATGTTCGTTGCAAGTCGGCAAACTTCCTAAGAATGACAACAGGGACCGAATCATGTTTTCATGGCTGCTAGTTTGTTTTAATGTATACTTTGTTTAAAAAGTTCATAGTTGACTGGATGACACTCTTTTTGTGAATTACCTGTCGGAGGAACCCTGATGACAGTAAACAGGTGCTGGGAGTCCAATAAGATCACCAGGATTATACGTAACAAAAAAAAGATCTACAAAGTAACCTCCGTCAGATATATGTGGTGGAGTAAAAAGTACAATATGAACATGCCTATGAACAGAAATACTTTTTATAATTTTCTGTTCACCTCTGACAGGAAACAAATATGTCATTATTTTCAAATGTAGGCTTCACCTTGTGGGTGAAGCTTCACTGCCACAAATCCTCCAGATGTTTGAAAAATGAACTCTTAACTTTCTGCTTGTTTTTTCATGTTGATATAAACTGGGTGGGAATGAGCCTATTTACTTTCACCCACTGTTTCTCCCAATTTACACCGAATGCACATTGTATGCAAATATCTCAGTATTATTCGGTAATGTGTTCGGCTCCTGTTTTGCATTTCCGACCCGCGGGAACTCGCACGTTTTCGCTTTATTACATCAAGCGTGCGGATGTCGTTTCCCTGCGCGGCCTCGGAGGTATTTGATTATGTGAACCATCAATGGCCTTTTCCTACCTGCTGCAGCGACTCCCTCATCTCCATTGAATACGGCCGCCGTTTTCAGATGGGACGGGGCGGCTTGTGTGTTGGAGGTGTGTGTGTGTGGGGGGGGGGGGTATGTAGGAGTTGTTTTGCATTCAGCACACACTGTTTAGTTAATGAACCAGACGGGATATTTGCGTCTCAGCTCCTCGGGCCCGGACTACGCAGTTCCCTCCTTTAATTGATATCTCTTTCCCTTCCGTCCTGAGCCGGATCCCCCCCCACACCTCATTCCACATTCAGCCTTATTACTAAACATTGATTAGCCTGTCAATGGCCGGGGCAGGACCTGATGAATACACATTTAATGCATATACCCCCTCTCTGTCCCCGCTCCCATTATTCATCAAAGAGGCAGGAGAGGAGAGAATTTACATTTAGAGATTGGACCTGCAGGATAATGTTCATCCCGACAAAACCTTTAATCTCGTATTCAGGTTTAAATCTGAGAATTCTGTCAAAGAAAGTGTCCAGAAGGTGAGAAGATTTCACTCGTCGCCTGCACATCTCCACTTCTATTTACTGGAGTTATTTTCATGCGAGAGGTGTGACTTTTTGAACAAATTGAAGAATATTTTAATTCACTGTCACTAGATTGAAGAACACCGGCAGAACAAGCAAAAGTGACCCTTGACCTCTTAACTTAATTGGTCGGTTGGACGATCTGAGAAGCACACCAGACTAGTCACTGGGGGAAAGAACATCAACCGTCTACATTAATGAAAACATGTTGAAGTATATGTTAAACATCATTTAATGAGGGTTACATTCAAGTATTTATGGATGTAGGCTATTTGACATATGACTAACTTCTATGTAAAGAGCAGATTCACCCTGTCTCCTACAAAATGACGTTCCCATACAACTAAGCTCTCCATTACGTTTTGAGGATAATATTTTTTCAATTATAAACTATTTTGTTCGTCTTGAAATGACGAAATTGAAACAAAACGAAGCAAAAAAGCAACAAAACCACTTTGTTAAGTTTAGGCAACCAAAGTATTTTTTCACGCGGGACGCGACCAGCTGTCTCCGGGGTGAAAGTCCTGTTTTAGGTTTGTAGCCAGTGTTACAGTTTCTTTTGCTCACAGATACTTTCTCTGCTGACGATGATTTGGATTTCTTTGCGTCCGTTGTCTTAAAGTGATTAAATTCACTGAATGAATTGTGCTTACGTTGTAACGACAAACATTTAGTAGCGTTGGGTTTCAATTATGAAGCATATTATCATATATTATGTGCTATGATCTCCTTCAATCACAATTCTCTAGCGGCGCTGCTGATAATCATGGCAGTTGAAAGTAATTTTATTTAGTTTACCAAAAATCTGAATATGCATGTAGGGGGGCCCCAAAAAATGCAGTCTTCCAAGTGTAATATGAGCCATTTGGTGTCAAATTCATAGCCCATTTGTATAGCCCAATATCACAAATTAGCTTCAGAGGGCTTTATATTCTGTACAGCATACGACGTCTTCTGTCCTTCGGACCCTTACATCGGATAAGAAATAAACTCCCCCCGGAAAAAAAGCTTTAACACGGAAAAAACAGGAAGTAAAATCAGCCCTTTGAATGTATTTGCACTGAATATTCTGTGTTACATTGCTGCGTATTCAAAGTGATCAATTCTTGCTGCTCTTCTTTCAAATGAAAAAGCTTAAAGTCGGATCACAGGACGGTTTTAACGTGAAGTAACAGGAAATGCATTGTATTTGTATTTAAGCAAAGGGATCCTTACTTGGACAAAATAGTGGAGCCCTGGTCCATTGCATGTGCATTACATCTAGCTAACAATCCCACAGAGCATGCTTTGCCTTTGATGGACGTTTACATTACAGCACACTAAACTACATCTTTAAGGAACAGCGGATGAGTGAACTAGGAAGTCATTTTGGACACCAGACAGTGATCAGAAGCTAAAGAGGCGAGCAGCGACACGGCTAACAAGCTGACCAAACATCAGTGATGAAACGTTCAGC